ACATTTTCTCTGTTTAACTGCCCTTATTTACTTCCCATTAACGTGGTTATTAAGTCCAGTAAATTTGAATTCTTCACAACCATTTGGTTCTGTCGAGAACGCTTTTAAATCCTACAAAGAGTTAATGAGTGTTGAATAGAGCGGTCTCAAATAAAAAACTTTTAAATGTTAAGTTATCACACCCTAGGATTTTTCTAAAAGAAATAAATTAAAATACCCGTATTTTTTTGTTCAAAAAATTAATTTTTCGATCGGAAAACGATTTCTTATGGGTCACCCATTGCATTTTTTGAGTTTTTGGGGACCCATCAAAAATAGTTAGTATTAAAAAATGTTTAATTAAACAAAAGTCTCCTACAGACAGAAGTTTTCCGATTGAAAAATATTGATTTTCAAGGATCCTATATGGTGGATGATTGGAGCTTGGTGAACTTCTTTTAAAAGCCCTGGCGCGCTAAAATGAACTATGCTAAGGACGTCTTAGCATCGTCGTCATCCTTTCCTTCATTATGCTTTTTCCTTGCACGTTTTTGAAATTGCAGGTTCAGAGCTAGAAAATTCTATGGTTATAAATAACGATTAATCCTTTTTTAACCGACTTCCAAAAAAGGAGGAGGTTATCAGTTCGTCGGAATATTTTTTTTTTTTTTTTTTTTTTTTTTTTTTATGTATGTTACCGCATAACTTTGGACCACGTCAACCGATTTCGATAATTCGATAAGGTAGTGTCTCAAAGGTGGTCCCATACTAATCTGGTTGAGATCCGATCAATGGATCATGAGATATATATATATATATATATTTTTTTTTATATGGGAGTTGAAGTCGGTTTTTTTTTGCTAAAAATTACTTGTTATATTATTTATTTAACTCAACTTTATTCGAATTTTGTTTTAGTTTACAGTTTGGCAATTTCATTAACTGGTTAAAAGTTTTAAATATAGAATTGCACAAAGGGAAAATATTGCATTAAAATTTTTACACATTTTTTGGATTTAATAATACTTGAACAAAAATATAAATCTTTAGGTTAAGGCGAGTTATATTGCAATTATTTAACATAATTGACTAAAGGCAAGGCGCACTTACAAACCTACACACATACATATGTATGTACGGCTGTGTTGCTAAGTGCTGACTTCGATATTTCGCTTACATTATTTTCAGGAGCTAATTACTGAGTATTTGCGTGCAGTATATTGACGTTGATAGTGCTGGACATTGTGAGAGGGCACTAAAAGATTGGCTGGAAAATGAAAAAGTAAATATTTTAAACAAAATTCACGACAAACAGTAGTTAAGGAGAATTTAGAGAAATAAAACCCTTTTTTTGTTTTACATATAACTTAATACTTAAAAAAACACATCTAATATAAATCTCCTAACACCGCCACTCACTTGAGCGTAATGTACACGAACGACCATCACCATCATATCCAAGCGGGCAGGAGTCGCACTGTGCACCATTTAGCGTGTCACGACACTGTACGCCACTGTAAAAAGAAAAAAAAAAAAGAATATACAAGCAAAAAAGCATAAGTAATTATTTAAACGAAAAGACACAGCAATGCATTCTTCTGTTTGTAACTAAGTAATTCATGGACCTTGAAAATCTATTTATCAATGTGTCCTAAACGTTAAGTGCATTGCTCAACCAAATAAAACCGCAAAAGGGCTAACACTCAGTGTTCTATTGTCTTTCGAGTCTGCTGAAAAAAAAAGTTAAAAGTACATTTGTTCTATGTACAGATGTTGATTTGTTTGCCCAGCAGACAAATTACACTAACAAGAAAAGGTTATTAAAACGTTTGCCCAACCAAAGCGTTTTCGAATGGATAATCACCCTCGGGTGATACTAAATCAACGGGTTGTTGGCAAGTGAACATTGTTTGAATTGTATGCATTACAACAAAAAGTCATCAGTGATATTTAACTATTACAAATAAGAAATTGTTATATGAGCGGTGGTGATAAAACAAATACGCTGCCGAAATTATGAGAAAGAAGCAAAGAGAGAAGGGAATTATAGGGCTCAAACTTTACGATTAATGGAGTAGATTTGATGCGCTTCTCCGCTTGATTTTAGGTACAATTTTTTTCCTATTCTCAAGTATGTATATTAGGGTCGTTTAAAAGTGCTTGTGAAAAAGTAAAGTCGAAATTGCACCTAGGAGTGCTTTATAACATAATTTCACCAAATTCAAGTGAGAATTGTTTCATTAAAAAAAAACGTAGCAAATAACTATAAAAACCTTAAAAAAAAAACAGAAAACAATGATAGACTGCAATATAGCAATGGTACCGGTTGCTCATAGAAAATAAGGATGCTTTATATGTTTATGGCTCCCTTATATTCTATGTCCTTTTTGATAATGAAAGTGCTGCCACGTTTGCAAGAAAAATAGTTTTTGGGCCAGAATACACGGAGACTCTTGTTAAATTAATAAGGGAAACACTGAAAATCAAAATTTAATCGGTACAAATATGAAAAAACGTGACACTTATATGTCCCGACTTTTAAAAAATATTCAGCGGGACAATTTTCTCAAAATCGGTACTGTTGTTGGTATTTTTTGATTTCAAACTAATAAAAAAACAGAGGTATAATTTTTTTCATTATAGAACAATCCTAGTGGGTGAGAGCATTAAAATTCAGAATTTACTTTTTAGGGGACCACCCTTATGTACATACGGCCTCTTCAAATGTGTCTGAAAGTGGGACTCTTTTCGACTTAATCCTGAGTTAAAAAATATAGCAAATTTAGTAACGTAATAATGATTCTATGCGCAGCAGAAACCTATCAAATTTTAAAAGTCCGAACTCTGTTGAATAATGAAACCAGAGTCTATACGGAGAGAGAATATGTAAACAGAGCGCAACTATTATTATTGTTAACTGCCAAAGATCAGATATCACGGTGGGAAACAAGCAGCGATTATCAGAGCGCATATGTAAATTCATGTAAAGGGTGCTTCAAAGATTCTTTTAGTTAGGGGAATGAAATGAGAAAGGTAAAAATAGCACCAGAAGAAGGCCTTGCCGGCTGGAGCTGGACAAGATAGATCCATAAGTTGGGGAGCACGTATATAAGAACAAAACCCTGGGGAACGTTCTCAAAGCGAATAAAATGCGAACAATAATTTCGGGAATATTTTTAAGAGAACAAAATGGGAACAAAAATTTCCGGAACGCTCTGATAAAGAACAAGATGGAAACAAAAGTCTAAGAAACTTTCTCTCGCAGAAAAATTTGGGAACTAAATTCTCGAGAACTCTCTGGTAGAAAACGAAACGAGAAAAAGTCTTCTCTGAATTATTAGCGAATATTGGAAACGAGAACAAATTTTTTTTCTTGGCGCTGTATTAGTTTGAAATATTAAAATTAATCGAAAAAGAACTGAAAGATAATTTCGCAAAATAAGTCACAACGAAAGACTTAAGGCGGCACGAACTTCTCTTGCACAGAAAATGAAAAAATGTCCCATAAATGTACAGATCGCCCTAATGATAAACGATCTCAAAGTTGAAATGAGCCAGCTTTCCTCTGGCTTAGAATTAACAATTATGGTTCTCATTGAAAAGATTTTTCACCCCAACACGCCAACAACGTCTCTCCCTCTCGTTCTTAATGTTCAGTTCTCAAAAATGTTGTTCTCGTTTTGTTGTCCAGCAAAACGTTCACCAGACTTTTGTTCTAATTTCATCCACCTTGAAAACGTTCTCGACACTTTCATTCTTATTTGGTTCTCAATGGAAACGTTCCCGAAAATTTAGTTCTCATTATGTTCTTATATTGCAGAGCGTTCTTGAGAGATTTGTTCTATTCGTTTTTTTTCTTTTTGACAACTTTATCAAGAATTTTATTCGCTTTCTGTTCTTTATGGAAACGTTCCAGATAATCTTTTGTTCTAATTTTTTTCCCGCTAAAACTGCTTCCAATACTTTTGTTCACATCGGTATGTTTTTTTTTTGCGGGAACGTTGTTGACATTACATTTTGTTCTCGTGCAGAACTAAATCAAATGCGAAACATATTCTCGGTGCCGGTTTAATGTACCGGCAGCCAGCTCAGAAGTCGCATAAATATTCTCGGCATTTTGGGTGCTGCAACAATCATGAACCAGTTTTGATTTTATGTGTGCAAAAAAAAACCGATGACGCCCAATTTTTGAGGGCTCACACATAACGCTATTAAAAAAATATGGATAAAATTTCTGAGTCATATATTCATTGGTGCCCTTTTTAAGGGGTTTTAAAACTTTTTTGAGGATAGGTCTGTATAAGAGGTATGCTTTAAAACATAGACCATAACGATTATAAGAAATAAAATTTAATAAATATTGCTGTATAATTATTACTGAACAAAGGAAAAATTGTTTTCGTCTCCTGAGACGAAAATCGTTAGACTAAAAACTTTTACATCTTCTCCTAATAATTATCTGGGACTTTTATTTTTTTATTTTTTTGTCTCACTGGTCGATTATTTTACGATGGAAATTATTTTCGTCTTCTCCTAATTATTATATGGGAATTTTACTGTTTTTCGTTTCGCGGAACGTTTATTTTAAGATGGAAATGATTTACGTATTTTCTTAATAATTATATGGGACTTTTATTTAAATGAGACTTCTTAATTGAGTTTGGAGATTTAACGCGTTAAATATTTAAGGCCACGAATCGTGAAATCGGCTTTACATGTCCCAAAGCTATTGAGCGAAAACGTGGAACGTAAATTATTTTCGTCTTGAAAAAAGCGCCCCAAGAGACGAGAAAAATATAAGTCCCATATAAGCTATATATTATACGCGAAGGCATTTTTGGTGCAGCATAAAAGATCTGCACCGTTCGTTCGATTTTCAAAAATGGTATGTCAAATTAAAGCGCTTGGCCTGTAGATGTGCAATGAGGTTTCACTTTTTCGAAAATCGCTGCCACCTGTTACTTAATTAAACTCACGTTATTTACTAATCAATGCCCTCAGATCCACACCGTCTGTTCGATTTTCAAAAGTGAGGTACCAAATTAAAGGGCTTGGGGTGTGGATGTTCAAGAAGGTTTTACTTTTTGCAAAAAAGTTGCCACCTGTTAGGAAATTAGGCTCAAATTAATTAAAAAGTTAAATTAATTATTAAATATGGGTATCAATCGAAATGGGTTTGAAAAGGCTTTATAACTTAACTACGTATAGGAGGGTTGCCACATGTTAAAAAAAAATGTAATTAAATTTTAATTAAAGGAATTAGGTATTCACTTATTGGTATCGGTATATGGGTGTCATACAAAAGAGGTTTAAGAAGGTAGTAGTTTGAAAATATTTTGAATATTTGAGAAGTCTAATTGAACTATTTTTTATATGAAATATTAACGATGGATGTCAAATGGAAGAGATTCAAGAAATACTTAGTTTGACAATTTAGAACATTTTTTATATGTTTGAGGGTTGCCCCAGTTTAAAGGGCTAAACTAAAATAATTAAATAAAAAAATAAATGAATTACTAACCGATGGTTATCAATGGAAATGGGTTTAAAATCCTTTATTTAGGAACTCTATTTAGGAGGATTGCCACGTGTTTAAAAAATAAATTTCCCCTTAATTCATCAGTTACATGAACTATTTATAACAATGTCAGACGAAAAATATTTAAGGAAATTTTAGTTCGAAAATAATTTTTAAGAGGGTTGCCGCCTGTTTTGAAAGTGCTATTTCGTTTAATTATACATAAGTGACATGAAATTTTAAAATATGGTTATCAAAAGAACGAGTGTTAAGAAATCTTTAAGCTGAACATTTTTTTTTTTTTTTTGTTGAAAAAATTAAGCTCAAATTATTTAATAAGTTAAGTGGATTGTCAAAAGATGGGTATCAATCGAAATGGGTTTGAGATTAATGAATTTCTAAACTGTATTTAGGAGAGTTGCCATGTGCTTAAAAAATTAAATTAAACTTAATTCATCATTTAATTGAAATATATGTAACAATGGCAGGCGAAAGATTTTAGTTTGAAAATACTTTGAAAGGGGTTTCCACCTATTTTAAAAGTCGAATTTGTTTTACTTATACGAAAGATACATAAATGAAATATCGAAATATTAGTGTCAAACGAAAGAGTTTTAAGAAAACTATTATAGGCTGATAATATTTTTAATAAAGCAGTGTTTGCATTATTCAACTTTGCGTTCAACAATTGCGTTCAACTCAACGCAGGGTTGCACGAAAAAAAAGTTGAATGGCTAAATGTTGGCTGGCGACCAACTTTGTTGAAAGCGATTAGTTGAAAGGTCATTCAACCAAAAGTTGAATGCAAAGTTGAACAATGCAAACACCTTTTTATGGCGAATATTTTGATATTTTTTCATATTTTGATATTTTTAGCCATTCAACTTTTTTTCGTGCACCCCTGTGCTAAGTTGAACGCAAATGTTGAACGCAAAGTTGAACAATGCAAACACACTTTAAGAGTTGCCAGCTATTTTTTTTTTTCTTTTGAAGGTC